GGATATTATAGCTTTAATTTCAAATGTCAAAATTCTTTAACCCACTAAGTTTAAATCACACAAACATTTCCTTGTCTACTGAAAAACATAACAGCAGATTAAAGTAGATGAAAAGCAGAATAGAAGCACATTGAGATTATTCTCCTTTGGCGATAAAGCAAAAGTAGAAATTTAGGGTAGCTAGTTTCTTCACCAACTACTAAACCACCTCAGCGCACATGAAAAGCACTCTACTCACCTACTACCCTAAATTCTTACTTGTCTTCACTAGCAAAAGGTGAAGGTAAAATCCTGCCATTATTAAATAAGTTGTGGATAATGAAAATATAATTTCAAATAATATTCACTCAAAATATTTATAAACTGACATTTATTTCAAAATATATGCCAAAACACAGAATATATATGAAAGCTACAACTAAAAACTACAATTAAAATTAATTCTGGTGTATGCTGCAATCCCAGCTCCTTGTGAGCTTAAGCAGGTTTGCAAATTCCAATCCAGCCTGGGCCTACTTAGTGATACTGTGTCTCAAATTACAGTTTTAAAAGGACTGGGGGGTATAGTTTTTGTGTGCAATTTTCATTACTGAAAGAAAATAAAAAAAGAGATAAGAAATGAATTGTAGATTCAAGTAGGAGCCCTTAAATATAATGGTGTACTTAACTTATTCTAGCTCTTGTACTGGTTGAGTTTCAAATTTTCTCCCTAGGGCAATCTATAAGGTATATACAGCAATTCAAACACCAGAACATGAGATACTGTTCTGCTCATGTTCATGAAAGCTGGGCAGTATTTACTTAGTAGTAGAGAAAAGGCTGAGTGAGGATATGGGACATAGGTAGGTCTTCTATGCCTAAGAAAGGCCCTTCCTTTGTAGAAAACTAAAGTCATTGAGTAAAAAACCCTTTTTCTTTAAGTTTAAAAATGGCATATTGCTTCTTTATACTTCTCCTTATAAAAGTACCATAAAGTATTTCATTAATAAAACACTGCTTATGTAAAAGAAAAAGATGAAGCCAATTATGCCTGATCAAAAAATTGTGTATAGGTAGGTCAGATTTACTTAAATGCAATTTATGGAAATTGTATTCTGACCTTTTTTGGTTTTTTTTGGTATATTTTTAGGGAAGGGTCTACAGGGTGTTCAGGGTCTCACTACTAGATCAGACTCATGGTGATCTGCCTGTTCACAGCCTCCCAAGAGCTGGGATTATAGGTGTGTGCCACGACGCCCAGTCTTGGAAACTGTATTCCATGTAAAGATTAAAATGCATTTGTTTATTCTGATTTTGATACAAAGGAAACCAGAATTACATATTTAAATACTAAGAACTCTTTAATCTTTTAACACAAAAATATTTTTCCTTGGGTTGTTAAACAAAAAATATACATTATATTCTAAAAATAGTCCAAATATATAGGCAATCTATACTCAAAATAATTTCAATGAATTAAAGACTGTATATGTACATATATACACACATATATACAAACATATGCACACATACATGCATATATGTCATATCATTGATTGACTGCACTTACCCTGCTAGTGCTTGAATTCAGAGCTTTACAGACTTTAACGATGCATTCTACCACTGATCTATTTTTTGTTTTGAAGAAAAAAATACATGTAAAGGAATGAAAAGAGCTTTTAAATGAACACTCAAAATTAGCTTGGGTTCATCATTCTTTTTTTTTTTTCATGGAATTTGACCAGCGTATCAACTTTTCTAAGCTGCTGCTGCGTCACTGATCACATCAGGTTAAGAAACCTCTCCAAGGTAAGCAGGGTGGTTCATCCCTGCAATCCCAGCACTTAGAAAAAATCACTGCAGGACTTGGAAGCCACTCAAGACCCAAAGGCCCTCTGAGTTAGGCCACCCCGGGGCTCAGAGGAGCAAAAAGGAGTTGGCATGTCTGTCAAGCAAAAAAGGGCTTAGAACTCATTACACTACCCATTTCATGCTTCAATCCACATAAGCACGTCCTGACTGGACAGCTGAACACTTGTACTGACAGGGAATATATTAGATGCTAAAGCCTTTTGAAAAGACATGCTGAAAAAAATTTCTTTATTTCTTGTAAGTTTTGTCCTAATGCTACTATTTTAAGTGTTACCAAGCCAGAGAATGAGCTCCTTCGTGTGTGAACCTTCCCAGTATCTGTGTGGCGTTACAGCCTAGCATAAGAAGATAGCACTAAATCTTTACATAGATTAGATCACTTTCCCTGAAGGCTTTCTAGTTTGACACTTGGGTTCCAGGATTTCGGCACAGTACTACGGGTAAGATAATAACCAACTACATTCTAATTCTATTGCTGTAGGATGAGATCTCCATATCCGAAACCTCCAAGTCATTTTCACAGTTCCCTTCTAAGCCTATCATGCCACTGTAGGTTTCTGAATCTAAGTGTACATTCTCACATCTATTTCATAAAATTCATTCAGGTCATTAATTACATCTGAAAAGATTTATTAGATATTCAATCTGTCATACAATTTGTCATTCTTATTTTATACCAAATTAGTTAAATATGTGAGTTTTGTGTTTTAAGTTTGCTTTGGGGCAGGGCTGGGGATTAAACTCAGGGTCTCATGCATAGCAGATCAGGCCTCTTCTACTGAGTTACACCTGGAGCCCAAAATTTCAATGTATATATTGCTTAAATAAAATATTAGAAGCTGGGCACAGTGGTATATACCTCCCAGCCACTTGGGAGGTTGAGTCAGAAAGATCATTTGAACCAAGAGTTTAACTCAGCCTGGGCAATGTAGGGAGACCCTATCTCCAATCACAAATTAATTGTCAGGTCTTCATTTATCAGTAAAAATGAACTATTGCTGTGCATGGTAGCAAGTACTGCCTATAATTCCAGCAATTGGGAGGCCCTAGCAGAAGGATCACCAAGAGTCTGGGCCCAGTCTGGGCTGCAGAGTGAGCTCCAGGTCAGTTTGAATTACACAGTCAGATCCTGTCTCAAAAAAAAAACCAAAAACCAAAAACAAAAAAAAAACCACACACACAAACCACAAAACAACAACAAAAATAAAAACCACTAAGCTTAATTCTTAATTTCAAAAGTTTATTAGTTTGTCAAAAATATATATGGAGGCTGCACTATTTTAGCAACTTTTCTATATGAAATTATTTCAAAATTTTAAAAACCCTCCAAATGTGTACCAATAAGAAATAAAAACTGAAAAGAGAAACAGGCAGATATTTTTGACCTTGCCAGCAGTCAAAGCATTTAAAATTTAAGGCTCAACTAATGGAAGATATTCTAAGTAGGCATCGATCATCTTGGGGTGGAGGACCAAACCTCCTTATCCTACCCCTTCCAGGGCAAGTCCTTGTTCATCGCAGGTGTGACTGCCACATGATTTGTTTTCCCATTGGATCACCATTTAATCAATATTACTCTAGCGACTATACTTGTCGTATACTTATTGGCTGATAATAGTTTTGTCTCAGCTCACACCCATCCTATGATTTGCCACTGGATCAATATTACTTAAGTGACTATACGTCTAATCTTACTGATTGGCTATAGCCCTGTGACATCTTAAGTCTGCCTCACCTCATGCTCAATAAAACACCTTTAAGAAGTGGGGCTGTTGGGCAACTCACTTTCTGGGCTCTCATCTGTTCCTCTAAGACAGAAGATTTTATTTTTGGTACAGGGGATCGAACTCAAGACCTTGCACTTGCCAGGTAGGTGCTCAGGCTGCTGAGCTATCTCCCCAGCCCGGAAGTTTTTTTTTTAATCCCAATAAATTCTTCCTACTCTTAAAAGAAGAAGAAACAGAAAACTTAGTGTTCAATAAGGTTATGATAGTTAATACTCATCAGTGATACTCCTTTTAATAAGCCCATTAAAAAGAAACATCTCTTTATGCAGTCAAAGATAAATCATTCTTTTTCTTGTCTTCCCTACAACAAATATAATTAATTTTTTTAAACAAACACAATTAAAATACAGATTTTGAAAAATGAACTGGGAAATGTACAACAACTTTGGAATTAAGCTGTGTGGCTTTTCTAAAGTAAAACTATTTTCTCTCTATGGTTAGCAACTCTACTTCTAGTATTTACCCAAGAGAAACAGAAATATGCTCACAAATAGCCTGTGCACAAATGTACACAGCAGCTTTACTTATGGTAACTAAAATCAGCGAACAACTGCACTCCATCTACAAGTGAATATAACAAGGTGGAGTATAATAATGAAGGAATTACTGAAATAGGAACAAAATCAGTGAACGTAATGTTCACTCAAAGAGGCTACACATAAAAAAGGACATACCATAGTTTAAGGAGAACAAAATCGAACTATGGTGACAAAAGTCAAAACATGGTTGCCTCTTGGGGGTACTGGATGGGACAGGCTGAAATAGGTATAAGGGAACTCTGGAGTGATTGAAATGTTTAATATCATGTTTCAATATGTAAGAACTATATATTACAAAAATAATGCATGTTATAGTTAAAATTAAAATTATAGCCAGGGGTGATGGCACACACCTGTAATCCCAGCACTCAAGAGGCTGACATGGTAGAATTGTTACGAGTTCGAGACCAGCCTGGGCTACAAAGTGAGTTCAAGGCGGCTGAATTGCACAGAGAGACCCTGTCTCAATAAAGAATTAAATAATTAATTTAATTATTTCTGTTGAAATACCTTTTCTAGGGCCAGCCAAATAGCTCAGCAGACTAAAGCACCTACTTAGGCAGACACAAGGGCTGGGAGTTTGATTCCTGGGCCTGCTAGCCGGCTCCACCCCTGGGGACGCACTGAGACAGGGATTGAGACTGGGAATGGTGGTGTCTGCCTGTAATCCTAGCACTAGGGAGGCTGTGAACAGGAGGATTACTAGAGTCCGATCTACGCAGTGAGACCCTATAGGCCCTGTCCTAAATACAAAAAAGAAAGAAAGAAAAAGTAATAGGAACAGAAACTGAAGTTTTAACATTTCCATTTGCAGGATGCTTACCTGTCTAAGAGCTGATCATGTTTTTCCAAAGCATCCTTTTCTGCCATCACTGCTCGGTCCTTTTCAGCCAAAGCATTATCCCTTGCTTCTCGGAGATTTCTGAAATTCACAAACATTTCATTTACTTCAAATACATAAGTGTATGTTTTCAAAGATTCATAAATCTGGAAGCTCAAAGATGGACTAGATGACAATCTTAAGGACCACTAGAGGTTGGTAATGTGAGGTATGTTTATATGTATATACTACATGAATCTGCCTAGCGTGGTAAGGATCTTGAGCAGTATGCAACTAATAAATGTCAGAACTGGATTGGACATTAAAATTTTATTTTTCATTGACAATGAAAACCTACAGGTTGAAATGTTTCTCTGTAACATTTTCCACGTAGATCAGAGGGCCATCTAAACACTGTATTTTAGCTCACTTACTCCTTGTCATAATTCATTGAGGTAGGTGTAATTACTTACATCCACACACAAACTCAGGTTTTAGCGAGTGTTTTATAAAATATTTTAAGTGAAAGCTATGTTAATTAAGATCAAAGAAATACAAAGAATGAAGTCTAGGTTACAGGCAAGAGAGCAGCTGAAACAATGGACCTTGGAATCTAAGTTGTAGTGAAAGAAATAAAAGAAGAACACAGAAAGGCTGATACACTAAGGGAAAGTAGAAAGGACAAGGATTGTAGGTCCCAATGAGATGACAGATTAAGTGTTGGTAGTTGCATGTATAAGATGGAAAACTATAGAGATTGCTGTTGGAGAACGGAGATTTAGAGACAGAACAGTACATTGTGGCACAATTTTAGTTGATGAAAAAACAGGATAGGACCCTTAGAATGGTTATGTGAAGCTGAACTGAGATGAATCAGTGTTCACATAGGGATTAAAGAATATGATGCCAGGGTATTAGATGAGGTCATCTGCTTACAGGGATGATGACATCAGAAACTGCAACTGACGCTTAAAAAATTGCATTTAGTGATAGTTAAAACGTCCCCCAAAATGAAAGGTAACAACAACAATTAGTAGGTTATTCAGCCAGACATAAGCCTTCAAAGATCAAAATCTATGTTTTTTTTTTTTTTTTGTTTGTTTTCTTTTGTATTTAGGGAAGTGTCTACAGGGTGTTCAGGGTTTCACTACTAGACTGGACACACAGTGATCCACCTGCTTATAGCCTCCTAAGAGCTGGGATTACAAGCAAGCACCACCATGCCCAGTCTCTCTATGTGTGTTTTAATAAGGATGGAACTCTGAATTAAAAGATTATCAACAGTAAGCTTCTTTCAGAATCAGTTTTAAAAAACTCTTTTCCTAATACACATAAATAGAAAGTATAACGTAAGTGGTTCATTTAATCCCTACAAATCCCTTGTTGTATTTTTTTTCTTCAATCAGATTTTATCGGTACATTTTAGATACACATAATGATCACATTCATCATAGAGAATTTGTACCTGTACACAATATAACTTGATTCTTTTTTTCCCATTTCCCTACCCTCCTTTCAACCCATCTGTCATATTTTCTAACCTATTTCCACTCAGTAAACTGACATTCAGCTTCAAGTCATATGAGCCAGGTTTACAGGGCCACAGTTTGAAACCAGCTATGCCTCACTTCAAACCATGCTGACTGCTTCACATCTCCCTATCTCCAAAAGGAACTAGAGAGGAGAAGAGAATTCGGCTCTCAGTATTCAAAAAGTAGGGTTTTGAAAGTTCATGGGATTTGTATAAATCTGGTAAATACCGGCTTGAAATCCTTAGTGGTCATACTTTGGTATGCTAGTGTCTAATGTCTTTTTTTTTTTTTTTTTTTTTTTTTTTTTTTTTTTAGGACAGGATCTACAGGGTCTCACTACGTAGACTGGACTTACAGTGATTCTCCTATCTTCAACCTCCCAAGTGCTGAGATTATAGGCAGGCGCCACCATACCCAGTCTCAACCACCATCTCAGCATGCCCTGGGGGTGGGACCAACACGGCACACCAGGGACTAAACCCCAGCAGCTGTGCTCAGCCGAAGCAGGCGTTTTAGTCTGCTGAGTTATCTGGCCGGCCCTTAATGTCTTTTACATGGCAATGTTAACAAATTTAAAATTTAAACATGTCATTCATTAGAGATTCAAATAAAAGAGTTTGCATGTTAGAAAAACAAAACAAAACACCAAACAATGGGAGCAAGGTAATTAAAAAGATAAATTACTTGTGCAGTTTTAAAATTTTGTATTTATTATCTAAGTGGAAATGTATTTTAAAGTAGTTATGCCATTTTGCTATTTTCTGAAGTCATCCTGATTGCAATGATCTGCAGAAATATTCTATTATCAAAACAAATAAATCATGAAAAATTGATTTTGGAGACAGTAACGTTCTCAAAACATTGAACATTTATATATTTTTCACTCCTGGATGACCTAGATATTTTAAATAGTAAATCACCACAAACAGGTTTTAATGTATTTCTCAAACATAGTCACACTATTTTATGTTATTTCAGTAACAGAAGTATAAGTAAATCATATTTTCAGTACTAATTAAACATGAATACTTAGTTGGAAGGTACAGAAGCTTCAGTCCCTAGATGTTTTTCCTAGTAGCAGCCCTGAAAATTAGACCACGCTACAGGGAAATGAAATAAAACCAACAGAGCAAGCTAATATTATAGCTTGTAAGAAGACTTATGCTTAGAGGGTACTAATACATGCATCAAGCCACAATCTATCCATCCTGCTAAATGTAAGTGCTATGTAAAGGCATAAACAAAATTCTAAGGTCAAAAGAGAAGTTTATTATTTTTAACTGGAGTAAGATAGATAAGAGAATGAAGGAAAATATTTCTTCAATGTAGAAGGAAAAACCAAAAATTAACAGAGGAAAATTCTAGAGGCTAAGGCTTCTATTAACAAGCCTTCTGTTAGACACTTATGGGCAAGGTTCCTGTGTAGAGCCACTCTCCTCATCAGGCCTCAAACCTTTGGTGTCTATTTCACAACCTGTGTATTGTACACTTCTTTAATATTATCAACTGACATGACTCAAATGAACCTCAGAGGATTAGATAAGAGATTGTTCCTCCACTGAAAACATTAGTAATAGTACACACGCAGTGTTTGCCACATGGTGGGAGCTGTTCTAGGTATTTCACACATACTAACTTGTTTAGCTCCACAACAATCAATCACAAAAGCTGTAGCTATACCATTACTACCATTCTATAAGCAGAAAGGCTAAAACACCATGAGGTTAAACACTGGTCTAACGTCACACAGCAAGGTAAACTGTGAAGCCTAAACATAAACGCAAGCCTGGCCCCAGAACCTGTGCCATACTGTGGCAGCATCCACTGTCCCACTTTTTGGATAGGGTGTGACCATTAATCCTGACACAGTAACTTCATTGTATTAATAAATGTCAAACAGATCAGTAAAGCCTGCTGCTTGTGGTTGCATCTAGGTTTGGGCTCTGGCCTGTTAGGAACCAGGCCCCACAGGAAGGGGCAAAGGCAGACAAGCAGGAAAAGCTTCACCTATATTCCTCATCACTCACATTACCATCTGTGTGCCTATCTGTCCAGCAGATTCTCACAGAAGTGCCAACCCTGCTCTTGCTTCACGTTTCTTCTTGGGATATTCTGACATGATGAGTTTTACATTACATGCCCATAGTAGATGGCACAAGCAGCTGTCTAAAAGCTAGCTGGGAAAGAATTGTGACTATATTACATACTTGGTTTATGGTTCAATGTGAATATGTTCATTCAGAATTTAGACAGGCTTGATAAAACAACAGATGTATTATATTCCCACCATAGATGAAACAATAACTTCCATACAACTAATAAGCAACCTATTTCTTAATTTCTTTTGTATTTAGGACAGGGTCTACAGGGTCTCACTATGTAGACTGGACTTGTAGTTATTCTCCTGTTTTTAGCCTCCCAAAACTAGGATTACAGATGCATGCCACCACACCCAGTCTCAATTGCTGTCTCAGTGCACCCCACAGGCATGCTTGGGATTGAACCCTGGCCACTGTGCTCTACATAAGCAGGTGCTTTTAGTCCACTAAGCTATTAGGCCGACCCTATTTCTAAATTTTACATGAATTAGAAAATATAACAAATATAGTTAAGACAGCAGAAATTCAAATTTTCTCAAAAGAGAAACTTAAAACAACAGAAGTTACTTGTAACACAAATAAACTAATGAAGTTCATTAAAAAACCCCCAAGCTGAGTTTATAATTAAATGTCATAGTAACAGAGAGCCTGAAAGTTAGTCAACTGGTCAGTATTATATCAGATGTTTCTTTTCTTTTTTTTTTTTTGCGGAACCGGGGATTGAACTCAGGTCCTTGTGCTTGCCAGGGAAGCGCTTATTCCACTGAGCCATCTCCCCAGCCCCCAGATGTTTCTAAGTACAAAATTCTCAAAACCTTCCGTATTTGTAAGAGAGTGGTTTCAGGACACTCCTACACCCCCAATCCCACAGGTATCAAAACCCAGGAAGGCTAAAATGGTGCAGTATTGCATGTAAGTTACACATATCCTTCTATATGTTTAAATCACCTCTAGATTACTTCTAGTTATTGTACTGTTTAGGAAATAATGACAAGGAAGAGTCTGTATATTTTTAGTACAATGCAGTTTGTTTTCAAACTACGTTTCTTCTGTAGTTGGTTGAATTAGTAGATGTGGAAGCTGCTGATACAGAGGGACTAGTATATATTATCCTTAAAAGTACTTTGATAAATAAAAGTTAATGTTTGATCCCAAACTATGTCTCACATCACTCTTTTAGGTTGAGTCCAACTAGCTCCAACTCCCCACCTGTCCTATGTGTTATGTTTATGTGTGGAAGTTATATTGAGAGGAAGGATGGAAGGAATAGATAATTTTAATCTTGTATGAGATGTAAAGCGAAAGTATCTTAGTATGGTTGGGTACTACTGAACTATGGTTTGATTACTAGAGTAACCACAAATGTATTTTTTTTTTTAACAGCAAAAGAGGATGATATAATAGTGATAACAGAGCAGCAGGCATAAGCTACTGTACATCTTTCTTGGGCAAATTGGGAGGTATGGCTAAC